TGAATGAATGGAAACCCAAAATCTCTGTAAATGTTTATGAAAATTAATAAAATATAATTATACGAAAAAAAAAAGAACTTTGGGGAGAGAGGCATAACTAGGTGAGGACTAAGAGCGTTGTAACACTGGCCTAAAGCCCCTGAGGCTCAAGGCTGAGGTGCCTACGAGCACATGTTGGAAGCTTTCCTGAGTGAGTGATTGTATTCTTTTACTAACCTGAATATAGATAGCCTTTTGACTTCTAAAAAAAACCAAACACTTGCTACTAAAGGTCAAATACTAAAGGCCTTCAATTTTATTACATCCCAACATCAAGAAAACACCATTGAAACAAAATGTATACAAACTTTGTAAGCAAACCAACATAAAATAAAATTTTTTAAAAAAGAAAGAAAACACCATTGGACGATAGGTAACATCCTGATAGAGGAGAGATTATTGACATTGTCAACAATTTCATTTTACTTGGATTAACAATCAACACTAAGGAAGTAACAGTCAAGAAATCAAAAGATGTGTTGCACTGGGAAAGTCTACTGCCAAGGTCTACTTCAAAGTGATGTCAGTTTTAAGACTGGTGTGCCTGATCCAAGTCATAATATTTTCAATTGCTTCCTACACATGTGAAAGTTGGACAGTGAAGGAAGAGGACAAAAAAATAATTTATACTTTTAAACTGTGGTTTTAGAGAAGAGTACTGAATATCCTTAGACTGCCAAAAATAACAAGTCTATCTTGGAGAAAGTGCAGCCAGATGCTCTTTGGAGGCAAGGATGGTGAAAATTTGTCTTTCATACTTTCTCATGTTGTCAGGAGTCCTTGGAAAAAGACATGCTGGGAAGGTGGAGGGTCAGAGAAAGAGAGGAAGAAACTCAACAGGATAATTTGACAAGTAACTATAACAATGGACTCAAAGTTCAGATCTGTTCAAAGGGTTGCTCTGAGTTGTAGTAGACTCAATGGCACCTAACAACAACAACATGACTAAGTAAACTTTAATCTACTTTTTATCCCTATGAATTTGCCTATTCTAGATATTTCATTTTTAAGTGGCACTCTGGTGGTCTAGTGGCAAGAAACTGCCCTGCAATACCGAAGACACACGGTTCAAGGCCACCATGAGAAAGATGGGCAATCTTCTCCCGTGTGATTAACTGCCTCTGAAAAATCACCAGAGGGTCAGCTATGGGTTGGTTCCAACTCTATGGTACACAGCAACAATAACATTAGTTGACATATTTCACTTAGCATTTTTTCATCCATATTGTAGCATGTACCAAAACTACATTCCTAGTATGGCTACACAATTTTCCCTTGTATGTATATACCACATTTTGTTTATTCATCTCTTGATGGACACTTGCATTTTTTACACCTTTTCAGCAATGTGCAGGAAACATTGGTGTACAATTGTCTGTCTCAACACCTGCTTTCAATTCTTTTTTTCCGAGAAGTGGAATTGTTATGTCATAGAGTAGTTATTTTCAAGGAACTTCCAAACTTTTTTCATAGTGGCTAAACTACTTTCATTTCTAACAGTCATACAGGAAGCTCTGGTGGCCTAGTGGGTGGGGAATTGTGCTGTTAACCCAAAAGTGGCTCCTTGGGAGAAAGGTGGACAGTATCCTCCCGTGTGATGATACACAGCTTCTGAAAACCTTCTGGAGAGTCAGCTTTGAATTGGTTCTGACACAGTAATGAGTGAGTGACTGATCAGTTTATTCTACAGAAGGGTACAGTTTCTCCACATCCTTCCTTGCCAACACTTAACCCTCTTCCCTGCCCTCCCCACTCCCATAATAACCCTCCTACCAGGGTAAGAAGTGGTGTCAATTGTAGTTTTAATTTGCATTTTCCTAACATCTCATGTTATAGCAGTATGTCCTGTTTTGTTTTGTTTTTTTTTAGTGTGATATACTCAGGGGATCTAATACTAAGAAAACAAATTTATCCTCACAGCTGGGTGTTTCTCCCTCTAAGAAGAGATAAGGTTAGAATGGCCATCAGTTCCTATCAAAAGTTGGATCTAAGTATTTTCTTATGTCTTTCTCTAGGAGAACCTGGAACATGGATGATTTCTGCTGATAATATTCTACAGATAGACACTGTCACTGGAGTAGGAGTGGCGAGGAGCCCAGGAACAGCAACAGTCTTTTACGACATCCCAGGAGTAGTGAAAACATACCGAGAGGTCAGTCTAACTATACTAGGGTTAGAGAGACTGGGATAACTATTTTCATTTATCAACATGTGTTTTTAATACACATCCTAGAAAATGCATTCACATAGCAGATACAAAGCCAGCCAGAAGACTTTGTGGGCACTCCAATCTAAATAGGATTCTTAACCTTTTCAAGTACAGTTGAAATCACCTTGTAAGGAATAAGCAGAACTTTTGTACTACGGTTATTTGACAGTTGTTAGCATTACCTTTGTTAAAATATCTTTGGCAGTTTAATTATTAATAAAAAAACTGATGTTGGTGCAGGATAGAGCAGGGTTTAGGTCTCTCGTACATAGAGTCGCTATGAGTCTCAAGTAACTAGATGGCACGTAACAACAATAACACCTCTTATGAAGGCCTGTTAAGTATCAGGCATTGTGCTGAACTCTGGAAATAAAACAATAAAAAAGATAATACTCACACCTACATAGAGTACTAATGTAGCTAACCTGGGTGCTCAGGACTTTGAATGTTTTTTAAAACAAAAAGCAAGTTATGGTAGCACTGAACTTCTTGGACCATACGTTAAAATTTCAAGAAGGAAGAGAGTCATTATTATCATTATCTTCTCCTACTGTAATAATTAAGTTGTTACTTTATATATAAGACCCAATACAGAATGTACAAAAATAAATTAGGATTCATTCATATCCTTAAAAAACAGAGAATCAAGTGTACATGCATTAATGAATGAAACAAGTATCTTTATAAACCTTCACTAAAATAAAAAAAGAAACATAATTTTTAAATAACAGACCCTGTGCTCGTTTCAGTAGCACCTATACCAAAATTGGAATGATTCAGAGAAGATTAGCATGGCCCCTGCGCAAGGATGACATGCAAATTTGTGAAGCGCTATATATATATCTCAACAACAACAAACAGATAATCTTATAGGGATTTCAACAAGTATAAAATACATGCAATATAGTCAGAGCATTACAAGTATACTGAGAGAAAATACCAGAAATGAGTGGTTTTAACAAATGGAAATGTATTTTCCTCACCATTTAGCAGGCTAGAAGTACAAATACAAAGCACAGCTTTCTCCCTAGAGGGCTTTCTCTGTCAGCTCCAGCTGGAGGAAGGTCCTTGTCTCTTCCATTTCTGTTCCTTGATTCTCAGAGATCTTCATGTAACTTGGCATCTACTCTAACCCATCTCTTCTCTGCTCACTTGCTTCTTTTTTATCTACAAGATACACTGTTTACTAATCCCACTTCATTAACCAAGACAACCCATTCCCAAAATGAGATTACAACCACAGGCAGATATATTAGGATTTACAATATATATTCTTAGGAGACATATTTCAATCCAAAACAAGACAAGAGGGAGAGAACCAAATTCCCTAAGAATTATACACAGATTTTCCTTCGACAGGTGACAGTCAATTCATCTTCAAGATTAATGCTCAGTTATGACATGAAGACATTTCTGACCAATACCCCTAATTCAACTGGATTTAAGCTCTTCATCACCACTGGCAGAAATGGTGGCAATCTCAAAGGTCAGACATTTCTTTTGGCTTTTCATTGTTTCAAACTTCTCTTAATTCATTTATTCCTTTGGTTTAGTAACCTAAGTTTTCTTTAATTTATAAACTGATCCCATTGTAACAAAAAAAACAATAGAGAGCTATGAGATCTTATGAACTGTAACTAGATTGAGGTTTTGAAGTGTTGTTATGTGCTGTGGAATTGACTATGACTATGAGAGACCCTATGAACAACAGGGCAGTCCTGTACCCACCTTTCCTGTGCCATCCTTGCAATCTCTGCCATGCTTGGTCCCATTGTGACAGGCACTGGGTTAGTGCATCTTGTTGAGGGCCTTCCTCTCTTTCTCTGGCACTCTAACTTTTCAGCATGCTACATTTTCCCAAGAATTGGTTGTCAACTGGATTGAGGTTTTAAAATAGGCTCAAAGTAGTCACTATTGTCTTTTTTTTTCCCATTCATTCATTGTTGCACTTTTCTCCACTCCCAGCCCTCCCCCTTAGTACACTACCCTCTTGGAAAAGTAAAAGAAAAATTCTTTCATTGTTTTACAAACCCTCCCGCAGGTCCATTCCACCATGTAGCCTTCTCTCTAGACTCCTGTCATGACAAAAATACCTAATCACATACCCTTTTAAGCAGTTTTCTCCCTCATCTGTTTCAATGCAGTATACATTATTGAACCCATCTTTCTCAGTCTCTCCCAAACCCCAACGTCAGTGCTGTTTTACAGGAGTGGCACCATGTGGTATTTGTCCTTTTGTGACTGAGATACTTCACTAAGCATAATGTCCTCCAGGGTCACCCATTTTGAATAATATTGCATGAGTTCCTTGTTTTTCAATGCAGCATAGTATTCCATTGTGTGAATATACCACAGCTTCTCTATCCATTCATTTGTTGATGGCACTTAGGTTGTTTCCAGCTCCTTGCTATTGTGAACAAAGCCGCAATAAACATGGGTGTGCATATATCTGCTTGGATGGCAGTTATGGTCTCTTTGGGGTATATTCCCAGTAGTGGAATTGCTGGGTCAAATTGTATCTCTATTTGCAACTTTTTGAGAAAGCGCCATACCACCTTCCACAGTGGTTGCACCATTTTATACTCCCACCAACAGTGAATAAAAGGGTTCCAGTTTCTCCACAACCTTGCCAGCATTTGTTGCTTGCTGTTCTGTTAAATTTTGCTATTCTGTCTGGAGTGAGATGATATCTCATAGTTGTTTTAGTTTGCATCTCTCTTAGAGCTAGGGATTTTGTTTTGGGTTTTTTTTGGTTGGTTTTTTTTTATTATTTTTGTGTGAGTGTACCGTCAAATCAGATCTGACTGGTACAGGAGGAAATTGTCCCTCCTTCCCCGGCAAGAGCATCTGGTGGATTCGAACCGTGCGCCTCTGGGATTGTAGTTGCAGGTCCTTGCCACTAGACCACCAGAGCTCCCCTAGAGCTAGGGATTTTGAACATTTCTTCATGTGCTTGTTAGCTATCTGAATGTCTTCTTCGGTGAAGTGTCTGTTCATATCCTGTGCCCATATTTCTTTTATCTTGTTGTGGTGCACTATTGTCTTTTTAATAGTAAATAATCTTGCCTGAGAGTATAAGGTAATCAAGACCAGGGATTTCTAAACGTGGCTGATGACCAAAATTTCTCAAGGAAATTTTTTGTTAAGTACAAATTCTTTTTCATCCAGATGTAATAAATCAGGATAAGACTTCTGAAGTTTCCTCAAATTTGTAAATTATTTTACTAGATTATATCTGAATTGTTTTTCTTGATTAGAAAATAGTTTATTGTGTAATTTTCTCTCTTCCCCCCACCCATGATATGGGGTTATAATTTAGGGAGCTCTGGTGGCCTGTTACTGTGTTGTTGCTATGTCCCATCCAGTTGGAACCAACACATAACTGAGCCTCCAGTGGGCTTTCAGAGGCTGTGAATCACATGGGAGATTACCCATCTTTGTCCCATGGAGTAGCTGGTAGACTCAAACTACATGCCTTCTGGTTGGCTCTGCAATAGTTTGAATCCATCCTTCCAGCAAGCATTCTGGCTGCATTTAAACCTGTCTATACATTTACAAACTCTCAGAAGTAAAAGTTTGAACTATTCCTTCACTTTGATTATAGCTAAAGCCAATGGAGTGGGGCAAACCAGCAGAATTTGACTCTCTTTCTCGCTTAATATTCTTTTTATGTTACCAAACTGCCTTCATATAATTGCCTCAGTTTTTATTAATTTTTTCCTTCAAATATTTTTATTGGTTTGCATGTAATAATTCACATATAGTGTGTTTCTTTCATGTATATTGTTTTACACAATCTTTTTGTTTACATTGTTTCATATGATTAATTACTCTTGATCTATGCTTACTATTATCTCATCTTTTCTTTTTCTTTTAATCATTCCTATTCCTTCACCCCCCATCAACTCACTTACCTCTGCTATCCTAATGACTTTCCTCCTTCCCCTTTTGAACATTTATATACATCCTACTCAGTTATCCTTCTATTTTTATGGTAATAGTTTTATTCAGTATTTGTCCTTATTAGTTCACTCAACATAATGTTCTTTAGACTCTCCCGTATTTTACAAAACCATTGTTCCTTAGTGCTGCATAATATTCCATTGTGTGATTGTACCACATTTTCTCAATCCATTCATTTATTGATAGGCATTTGGGCTGTTTCCATTTTTCTTGCTATTGTCAATAATGCAGCTATGAACATAGGCAACATATTTCCATTCATGTTTTAGTTGTAACTTTCTTAGAGTATATTCCTAGCAGTGAAATGGCCAAGTATATGGGATTTCTATGTTCTTCAGCTTATTGAGGAAACACCAAACTGCCTTCTAGAGTGTACCATTTTACACTCCCACCAGCATTGTATGAGAATTCCAATCTCTCTGCATCTTCTCCAACATTTATTGCTGGGTGTCCTGATAAACTTTGCTACTGCTACTGGTGTAAGATGGTATCTAATTGCTGCTCTGGTATGTTTACAAATTCTTGTTAGTAACATAGTTATTTGCCTCTTTTCTGTTTATTAGGATCTTGTACATCAAATCAGGCCTTGGCTCTTAAAACAATACTTCTTCCAGAGACCCTCATGCTATGCCATGTACAGTTCAGTAATACCTTGCTAGACATTCCAGCAAGTAAAGTGTTTCATGTCCAGTTAGACTTTAGCATGGAGAAAGGTAGGTTAAACAAGTTGCCTCTAATTTCCTCCTTTTATTTATGCAGTTGTCACGCTTATAGAATTGTGCTAGTATTTTTCAATTTCATGCTGTATAACTGCAGAATATATCCCAGTCAACATTTGTGTTCAATCCATTCAGCAAGCATTACACACATGCCCTGTATAATAGCCTGTGCCTTTTATATGTCCTTGTACTTAGCCTACTGTTATAATTTACTATTTTCTTCTTAGTCACTATCATTTCTATGAAAGTTTCGATTGTGTCTCATTGATCTTTAATCCCCAACATATAGTACAGTATCTGAATATTTGTTGTTAAAGGACATTTAATACAGACATGATTACCATGCACAGAGAGTAGAAATAGTCATGACATTGGGGTAACTATATCCAATCTAAAATTAGAGGATTCACGTCAAATGGAAGGTATTTGTGCTACATCTTGTTGTTGTTATGTATCATTTAGTTGAAACAGACTTATCGCTGACCCTCCAGCAAATTTTCAGAGGCAATAAGTCACATTGGAGGAGATTGCACCTCTTTCTCTCACACACAGCAGGTGGTGGATTTGAACTTGCTGCCCTTGGGTTGGCAGTGCAGCTCCTTACCATTAGGCCATGAGAGCCCCCTCCTAAGAAAGTCTGCATCATGTTGTTGTTGTTGTTGTTATGTGCCATCAAGTCGCTTGCGACTCATAGCGACCATATGTACAATAGCC